TATGTACACACACATTCTATGGGGCATCAAGTTTTTGGTGTAGTTTCTGAGGAGCCTACGGTAATAAGTTTAGGAGAATTTTAGTTGAACCTTTAAGAATTAAGTTTGGAAGTGATAATATTATTATTTAATGTGTTTAATTATTGTGTTTTTTTAAAAAAATTAAAATATCAAAAATATTTTGAGTGTTTAAAGTATTGTATATCTGTCATATTAGTTAAGCCTTTAGATTTGAATGTGTAGTTCAGGAGCAATAGACCTTGTAAGGCTGTCAAAACGGCCCGTTGTTCGCGAACAGCTCGTGTTCGACTCATTAAGAAGCTCGTGTTAGGCTCGTTCACTAAGTTAATGAGCCAAACACGAACAACATAAACAAATATTTGTTCGTTCATGTTCGATTTGTTTTGGCTCGAAATACTGCTAATCATATATATATATATATATATATATATATATATAGTATTTTTTAAAAAAATTAATTGACTACAAGGCTACAAAGATTTATAATCAATTAAAAGTATTAATGAAGAAAATAGAATAAAAATTATTAAATTTGATTCAAATGATGTTTTAAATTTTACCCCAATCCATTGAAGCACTTTCTCTCATTACAATCAACACTGAAATTTCTCTTAGAAATGTAATAGAGAAGAAACTTCTCACCTTCTCTCTCCTCTTACAATTCTTCAAGAAAATACTCTCCACAAACAAGACTTTACTCTGCACTCACACACACACACCCCCACCCCCCCAATATGAGAGACGTCAGCCCCTCTCTTTCAAAGAGACACAAAATCCCTCCTTTTTCCCAAGAGCTTCACTTCAAGAGATATATCTCTTCACTCCAAGTGTCTAGATTCATTGAATCAAGACAAGAGACATATCTCTTCAGTTAAAAACCACTCATTAACTCCAAGAGACACATCCCTTCATTTAAGAGCTTTTCCAAGTGTCTAGATGCAGTGAATCACTTCATGGGGTGTTTGAATCACTTGGGAGCCTTCTAGAACATTAAAAACCGCCAAAAATCAGTCCATAATCATCCAGGGTGCCGTCGACACCGGTCTGCAGCAGCTTCACTGTTTCGTTCCGTTTGACTTTGTTTCAGCTCCGTTTCGCCTCGTTTCAGTTGTGTTTTATTCCTAACATATAGAACTAAAACATAAGCATGAAAAAAAAACTTTCTTTAAAGTGTAATTTCATTCAAAAACATATGAGAAGATGATTAAGCATAGAAAGACATATCAAAATGTGCAGGCTAGAATTTTCTTTCTTGCCCGTTTTAGCTCTAAATTGCACCGTTTTTGTTTCTTTTTCACCAAAAGTTTATTTCTTGTACCTGAAGCAAAAAAACATGCAAAATACCTTCCTTTAAAGTGCAATATCACCAAATATAAGTATAAAATATAGATTTAAAAATGCATATATTTTTTGTGCATCAATGTCATTCTCATAGAGAACAAGGTAATTCAAAATAGAAAAAGCTCTAGTCTATTGATTTTAGTATTAGCCCAAATAGTTAAAAATGTTTAAGTTCAATAATCTAATATACTATGCCACAACAACAAAAAACAAATTTAAATCCTACCCAAATAATAGTGGTTTAAATTAATGAATATGAGGTTCTAAAAATAACCTCCCTTGTAATGATGTAAGTGGAATATAAGAAATGTAAAGTGCAAATTATATAATATGCTAGTGACAAAAAGGAGCAACATTCTTCTTTACCCTCTCACGAGTGTATAAAGAAGATCGGTTAAAACAACTTTAATTTATTAAATCCTATAATTAACCCATGAAAGCATATGTCCCTAACATTTGCATCTCCCTACAAGGCATATCAACCAATACCCCATAATTCAATATGACTAACCTAGTTGATTCTAGCATAGCTCTCCCAATTTATTATGGTTCACAACACATTTTAATATTTCACTTGATCAGAATGAAAAGTAAATGAAGATCCAAAGAATAGTCATCACATTTGCTAATTAAAATTAATTTAAAAGCACTTTCTGGTCATATACATCCTACTTAATCATCACAAAGTAAAATAAATAAATTTACTCAAGAAGCATAAGAAGTACACTATACAGATTCATTGAAAAAAAAGAAATTCACTATCTAAATGTTTACAAATGAAATACAAAAATACAGACAAACAATACTTTTCTTCCTCTCCTTTACAATGACCCGAAGAAGCTTAATCAAGACTCGTCCTGAACTTGGGCTACTGGTTCTGAAGGCTCTCCTTATCCTCTGCACTAGAAGAAGAAAGATTCTACAGTAAGCTAACCCTCAAAATAAAATAACTCTCATCAATTCCTCCACATTCATCCATCCATCTAAGTCCCTGATACATGGTTATATATAGACTCTATTAATTAGCATAAAATCAATCTACAACCTCCTACAAAACTACCCATGACAAGCTTCCCGAATTGCCAAAATTGCTCCAAGCAAATGTCGACGCCTAGGAGCGGATCGATGTCCTCACTCAATAAGGGGGGTTGCATCTCACTCAACTTGATAGACTTTAACCTTTAGTCAGACGGTTTTTGCTTGGTTAGTCTTCAACCTGTCTTAGAGGGTTGCATCTGATTTGACATGACTTTTGGCATTATGATGGTGGCCTTTATTTTGACTCTAGTCTTCTACCTATGGACCTTTGGTCTTCCTTCCATAGGTCGTTGGTCTTTCATCTGTGGGCCCACCTTAGATATGCTCCTTTTTACTGTTTATCCATTAATTTTTCTCAAGATTCATGAAGTCGTGTATCTGATGTACACTTTCATTGAAAAAATTTTGTCAGCAAAATTCTTGAAAAAGATCCTAAATTTTAGATAAATTTTGAGGGCCCCACCCTTGAACTCTTAAGACTGGGGCTCCTTACCTACCCTAGAAACAACCTTATTGTGAAGGTCGAGCAATAATTAAATATGTATATTACATTTATTTTTAAAAATTTACAAGATAATTTTAGATCACAATAATTTTTATGTTCATAATAGGGGTAACTAATGTATCACTAAAAAATCAATTAATTGGGCATGAATCTTAACCCATAAAAATTTCAAGATCGACTTCATGATTCCTTAACCTTGATTTCAATTGAATTAAAATTAAAATTTATTTTGTTGAGGAGAACCAAATGATTTCAAAAATATTCTAATTTGAGACCAAATGAGCCTCAATCAAATTCTATGGGTGTTAAGAGCTTCATAAAATTTGACCAAATAACTTCTAAATATTGTATGTTTGTAGTAATAAGATGTATCTGAACAAGAATTCAATGAACACGATATCACTCAATACTAATATTGTTAAGGCTTTTAAACGCCTAATTTTTTCTATAATAAAGAACATTGACACCTATCATCAGATGAAAATTTTCTAATTTTTATTAATATTATCAAAATATTACTAAAAAATTTCAGATAAAATCATGTTCTTTACATGAAGTACACTTGAGATTGGGGAGAGTTTAGAGATATAAATAAATCTAAAGCCTAAGCGATCAATGTCAATGAATACCATCACCCAACTTCTATCATCTAATTATTGTCACTTTATCAATATCTGTTTGCCAACCATCATCGTTTAAATATCATTATCATTAAAGATTTTGGATAGTTGAGAACTTCAAAACGAACCAAATAAATTGCCAATGGTGTATGCTTGTAGTCAAAGTAAGCACCTTTATTAGAGAAATTCTATGAGCGCAATATCATTCAATTTAATGGAATAAAAAACATCTATATGCCTAAGAAATTATTTATAGTTGAGGAAATAAACACAAGGCTTTTTAGATTTTGATTAAAATTATCAAAATATCACTACAACAAAATGTAAATAAATTTATCTTTTTTTTACATGAAGTTGATATAAAAGGGGAAAGAATTTAGAGATAAACTAGACAACTGCTATCACTCAAATGTTATCACTATATTATCATCACGACTAACATAATCACTCAAATGTTTTCACTATATTATCATTACTTGGCTACCATAATATATTACCAACAATCATCATCTGAATGTCATTGGCAGACCAACGTCACCTTACCATGCTCGCCAGCTCGTTATCATTCGTTGGTGACACTAACATCATCTCTGTTTGCCATTACCACTCTTCATCGCCTCTCTAAGTATTCTTCAACATATTCACAAATTATCAAGCTAACACTTAATTCATACTTTTTGATCTTGAATTCGGAAAAAAAAAAAAAAAAAAAAAAAAAAAAACATTGATTTATACAAATTTTTATTCATATAACAGATTATTTTGTGGGCTAGCCTGCAACTTTTTTTTATTTTTCACATCAAATTTTTAATATTTTTTATTTTTTCTATTTTTATTTGTGTAAGTTTTTTAAATAAAATTAAAACAATATATTTCTATTATAGAAGATATGTTAATAAATAACACAAAAAAAATATTTAAGTAATTCACTAATTATATTCATTTGGCAAGGAGCATCTACACCTAGCATCTTGCAATTTTTTTAATTCTATAATTATCTATTGATTTATTTGATGAGAGAAAAGATATAAAAGCTAAAAAAATTAGGAATAATTACATACATAATATCTAAAATATTGTTATTCATAATGTCAAGTACTCATGTGATATTTTTGAACAACCGAATCAATGCACGCGTGTCATAATCAAATCATCAATATTTTGATAAAAATGGAACATGTTGATTGAAATTTTATCATAAATTTTGATATTTCAGTAAGAAATTAAAATTTAAATAAAAAATATTAAATTTGTAAATATTAATATTGCAAATGCTATATATATAAATAACCCTTATTAAGGAAAATTTATTTGTATGGAGAGATGTATGCACTATCCGATCTCAACAGTATACCAGATTTTTTTCTTAAAAAAATTAAAAATAAGATCCATCAAAATACACATTCACTTTATCGACGGTTGAGATGTATGCAGACCGTATGAAATAATTTTTCCTAAGAAAGAAAGCTTCCTCCCCAATTTGTCTACACCTGTTTCTCTACGTGGCCAGCACCTGGTTTCCCGGATTCAGGGGCCTTCCGTGCGTCACTAGACCTAATTCTTTGCTTGGAGTTACTTGGAGCGAGATGATGGAGAGAGATGGTCGTTGACGACCATTGATTGGAAGATCCCAGACCCACGGTGTTGCATTTGCAGCTGCTCGATTTCTCCCTCTTTCTCTTGTTATTTTTGCTGCTTTGACTCGGCGAGGTGAAACGGGCATAGAAAAGGGGCAAGGATCCAGGATTAGAAGGTTTGATTTGTTGAATGATCTTCTATTTCAGGGTTGTAGTTATTCAATTTACGATTTTGACTGACGAATTTTGTTGCAAATCTCCATCTATGATCCGTTTGGTTTGCTTTGTATTGAATCAAAGGCCTTCTACATCTCCCAATCTGTTAGATTTGCAGTTACAATACCTTGAGTTCTTATATTCAAGATTCTTTTGGCTTTGCTCTTGAATGCTGGGAGGTGATTTAGGGGTTCTGTGCTTTGGAATTTGTGTGAACTTTCAACCCTTTTCGGCTTTCTTCTTTCTGTTTCTCTTTCTAGCGGAAGGAAAGTGAGAGCTCTTTTCCAAAGTGACAGCTGGGCTATTTAATTTGAGGCTAGGATGAGCCTTTTACCGATCTAACTTGCGGACTGAATCACAACTGGGAAAAGGTCGGGTATTTATCTGTGCATCTAGGGTTTCCATCAATATTGCATGTGGGTTATGAGCCAGGAACTATGAGTGTTTAGATTTAACTTGTTGGATGGGGACTCAAACAATAGCAGCTACGAGTGGTGGTGGCAATGGTGGCGGCATGCAGCGACCACAGATTCAGAGCTTGTCCAGGCAAGAATCCCTCTATGGACTCACTCTCAATGAAGTTCAAAATCATCTGGGTGAGCCCTTACATAGTATGAACCTTGATGAGCTGCTCAAAAGCATATTCCCGGTTGATGAAAATCAAGGTCAAGGGATGGAAATGGAGGGCTTCACTCAGTATGCTTCTGGCTCTGGCCTCCAACGCCAGGGAAGCAGCACCATGCCACATTCTTTGAGCAAGAAAACAGTGGATGATGTGTGGAGGGACATTCAACAAGGGCGGCTGAAGAAAGTTCATAGCATTGAGGATCGAAGGCCGGGACATGGACATGAGAGACAGCCAACTTTAGGGGAGATGACATTAGAGGATTTTTTGGTTAAGGCGGGCGTAGTTGCTGAGGGTACTGTTGTTAAGCGTAAGGATAATGCAGCAGGGAATGTAGATGGTATGTCAATAGCTAATCAGATGGCAGGTGTTCCGGATTATGCACAGGGTGCACATTGGTTGCATCATTATCATCCTTTGCAAGGTATGGATCAACAACAGAGGCAGCAGAATGTGATGGAAGCTTATATGCCGAGCCGATCTGTTCTGCAGCCAATGTATACTGATAGCCAAGTTAATATTTCGTCGCCTACTGTAGGCGCTCTTTCTGATTCACATGTGACTGGGCGTAAACGAGTAGTTTCGGGGGACATGGCTGATAAGCTGGTGGAGCGGAGGCAGAAAAGGATGATTAAAAACAGAGAATCAGCTGCCCGTTCAAGAGCTAGGAAGCAGGTTAATTTTTTTTCAATATATTTTTTTAAAATTATACGTGCATTCTGGGCGAATTCTCTTTTGATTTAAGGTCCATTCTTCCTTCGTCAAGTTTTCAGGGTTTATAGTGATTGAATAAGCTTTCTTAATATTCTGTTTCCTGACAGGCTTATACTAATGAGCTTGAGAACAAGGTTTCACGGTTGGAAGAGGAGAACAAGAGGCTTAAGAAGATGAAGGTGACTATCCCATTTTTTACCCCAAGCCACGGTTTTTTTCTTCCTTTTTTTCCATTAAATGAGTAAATAAAAATGCTTTTCTTTGGTGTTATTTATTTTCCAGTTGATTCATTTAAAATTGTTATTACCAATGTCAATTATTTCTTACTTTATTGTGATTCGGGCTTAAAGTTTTGTTTGCAATTGAACAATAGCTTTTGATTTTATGATATAGCAGAAATAAATTGCTGCCAAAACTTAGATTCTTCGGTGATTTGGATGAATAGACTTTGATTCCATGAATGTGCGATTGTTACTGTATTTTCACTGGTTTTTTAATATGATTTATTTGACAAGGTTGTATATCATGCCAAGTATGTTTTCATTTATTTTTTAAATAAATTTTCTGACGTTTAATATGCAAAAAGATTAATAAATAGAAATAATCTGAGTTTTAGCACATTCTCCATTCTTTTTTCTACATTTTACTCTGAACTTGTTTCTGTATATCATTAATCTTCCATTAATTTGATTGCTATTCCCCAATCATCATATGTGTGCCCTTAAAATCTTATTCCTGTTCGTTTGTAGTGGCTAGGTTCATCAACGCTCTCATGTCCCTACATATTAGGATCTGCATGCGTTGGGTATGCCCTACTTTAATAGTTATATTGAAGTTTATTTACACCTCTTGCAACTTTCAATTGAAATGTTTGCTAAATGATTTAGGTAAGCTTTGGTCAAAGTGATGGGGGTAGTGCAAGCGAGTCTAGGATTATCTAGAACTACAAATTATTCTATGTTTCGCTCAAAACAAATAAATTATTTATGCTTTGATATAGTTGATGTTTAGCCCTAGTTGATGTCAGCATCAATTAGTTTTGTATAGTTATACGAATTAACCTAATTCAACCTATGATGTGGAGCCAATCATTGAAGTATGTTAATTGGGGTAAATTTTTTGTTTACAGAGATTTATTGATCGAACATTGTAAATAGGGTAAAGAAAATATTGGTGAATTAATAATTTTATAGGCTTTATTTTGTTAGGACTAACTACAACAACACCAACAAAGCCTTAATCCCACTACGTGGGGTCGGCTACATGAATCCTTTTTCTCCATTGCGTCCTATTTAGTGTCATATTTTCATTTAGCTCTAATAAATTAAGATCATTTTTATAACAATAAGCCCAAGTTTACCTTGCCTTTCTTAACATAAATCGAATCTAAAACATCTACACATTTATTTGTTTGGACTAATTGTATAAGCTAAATTTATACTTGTTGCATATCTTTCATTTGACTATAGAGTAAGGTTTTTGGGCAAGTCCTTTCCAAAATTTGTAGCAAGTAACTTCAACCAAGATTTTTAAATAGTTTTTGCAAATGAAAGAAAAGGAGGATTTTGCACTTAGCCCGAGCTGAAATGGCTTAGAAATGAATTTAAAATCATCGGTGCAATTTTCTATTATTTTTTCATGGAACTACTTGTGCTTAAAATGGTGCCAATGGGAATTTCCGTATTTTTGGTTTGATATTCTCATAATTAAAAAAATTATTAGGTTTTTTGTACAAATTTTAGACCTCCTGTATCATCTTCTAATTTTTGTAGAGATGTGACATCCATTGAAATATAATGTACACGAATGAACTTCCATTTTTTCTTGTACTCACAATAGACTTTGAAAGTCTACTGTGGATCATTTGGGCAATCATGGAAATCATCCGACTTTAAATTAAGTTAGAGGCTTTAAGCTAATTATCCACATGGCCATGTGTGTCATTTCAGGATCAAAGGCTTGTAGTTCGTATATAATATCTTTTTTGGCTCTTTGCATTTGAGGATTGTGAAGAGACTTGTTCTTGATTGAACCTACTTCACTTGGTTGTATTTTTTTGAGGTTCAACAATTGGAGAGATAATTGTTTTTGAGTCAAATGAATTTTCTATTATCTTTTGCTTGATTCTTTAGTTTAGCATTTCTATTGTTCTTGTGTTTCACTAGTGGCAAGATATTCAAGTTCGCAGCTTTCTTAAAAAAATTGATAGCATTGGTGAATAGCTCTATGAGCTTACACTTGACTTTGTTTTTTCATCAAAAGTTTCGACAATGCTTTCTTTCAACTCCTTATGAAGGGTGTACCCTAAAGTGAGTCAAGACTTTCCGTCCACCTCAGCAAGAGCAAGCATGGTAGCACAATAGGCACTGAGGCTATGCATTGGGCCTCCTACGCCCACCAAGAAATGTGCGCATTGGTGGTTCCCAAAGCAGTTTGGCAAAAAAACTTCTTATCCAGGCCAATATAGGCAAGTGTAGAGGGAGAATAAGGGATTAAAGTTTAGAGCATTCACACGACTTCACATGTCATTACATTTCAATATGTTCATCTTCTCTCTGTCTCTTCATTTTCTTTACTCCATGGAGACATAATATCATAGAAGAGAAGAGAATTTTGGAGGGGAAAATTAGAGATAATTTGTGTTGAAATTTCATAAGCAATTTCTCTTAGGGATGAGATGGATAAGAGGGGGAGGGGGTAGGGAGAATGATAGGAGAGAGAGAAAGATGAAATTAGATTTGGTTTTTAAAAGGTGTGGTGCACACTAGATGCTTCAATTTCCATGCATAAGTGGATTTTTATTGTTGCATAGATGATGGGCATAAACCCATTGTTGGACATGGTTGGGTTCCTTTGGTTTACTTAGCTATCTTTGAGCCCATACAAACCCATTTTGCTTTGTGGACCAATAATAGCATGCTCTGGCTTGGTTTAACCCTCCCACTAGACCAAATTTTAGCAACTTTTGTCAGGGCTTGAATAATTTTGATTGCCATAACCAAATAAGTGGAGTTGAACCAAAGCTTATGGAAATGACTCACAATATTGCCCACATGTTGGGATTTATCTTGACTAATTCCTCTTCTAGAGCCGTTGACATGGCCCCCTCTCGAGGCAATAGGCTGAGTCAAGCCATTTGCCACGATACTTATAGGGTGAATGGTTGAGTATTTATGTTTCATTTATTATCACAAAAATTCTCTCCATAGATGTGGTTGCCTAACCTATAGACTGAACATCACAGTTTTATCATCTTTTACTAGAAACTTTTCTTGTACTTGATTGTGGAATAGCTGGATTGTGATTTCATTCATATCGATTAATTTAGCAGATTCTTAAAATGGCGAAAAATGAAAATTTAAATCCATAGTATATATTATCGTAGTGGAGGCTTCATTTTTTTTTCCTCTTGATTATAAATGCAAATTTGCTGTATTGTATTACATGATTCCAACCAAATTGATAGAGGCAAGTTAAAATTTTTAACATAAACCTCTGCTTTCAACTTAGGGCATCTAGAATTTGTTTATGAGAATTGGAATAAAAATTTTTAGTTGGGTTTACTGCAAAAATTTTTAAGACATATAGCGTCATATAATGAAAAATTGTTGTTGATGTTGTGGTGTTTGCAGTGCTGAAATTGAGCTGCACATACATACCGCAAGTGGTCTATTATGTTTGCACTGTTTCTTTATGTGCTAACCACCTCAAAGCAATGTTCTTTACTTTTCAATAACTGAAACAACTAAATCACTTGCTTTGGCATTCCTCCACAATTGTTGTATTATCTTAATAACATTTAATTGTGAAAACTATTAGAGAATTTTGACGTCATTTCACCCGTTTAAATTGATGAAAAATGACAATTTCTTCATTGTTTTTGTATTATATAACTCTTTTATTAATTTTTTGTGAGGTTTTATACATAGTTCTTGTTCGCAGGAGCTGTTGGGACTTAAATGTCCTTTGCACATAAAGGACGCATTAATGCGCCACTAGTTTCACTTATTATGTGCTACATGTGTTTGGCGTTTTAAATTCAGCTTGATGGAGAAAAGATGAAAACTATGTCGATTATCTAGTTGTAATTCACATCATATTAAGATATTTTTGCCTTCATATTTTTTTTAGGGAATTTATTTAAACAAGATCCTATGCAGTGCTATTAAAATAAAACTCAAAAGCACATTTTAGGAGTGAAGCAAAGATAGGTTTTTTCCTTGAGCATTGTTTGCCAATGAAGGACAAGCTCACAACAAAGTGCGTGTGTTAGCTACTTGACGCACTGCGTCGTGTCATATTGCTGCGAGCTAGACTTTGGCTAATAAATGAAATCTTAGTGCAGATTTTAGGGTTTTTTTTAACATCCACCTTAATAATTATGCATCTGTTTTTTCTTCTTACTTTAATGGATGAGTTATTGCTCATTGTTTCAACCTTCTCTCTCATTGCATCTTGTTACTCCTTGGTGATTTTTCTCTTCGAGCTACCATATCTGCTATTTTTCTTGTACATTTATCATCGGTTCTTGCTGATTACACTAGTACCTTTTTGCTGACAAGTTTTTTTTAATTTTTTATGAGGATACTTCATCTCCTTGTTTTTTTTTCTTGATCTCTAGTTGATTACTAATTCTCATCAGTATTCTTCATCACTACCCTATATATATATATATATATATATATATATATGAGTTGCTTTCAAATAACTGAAAATGACTATTGTTGAAATATCATTATATTTATTAAAAATTATTCTCTAATGTGATTTATGCTTCGCTAATTAAATGAATGTTGTATGAACATGATATATGCATATATGATATACAAGTTTTGAATGCCTTTGTTTGTTAAGTGTCACTTCGCGTTGCGCTTTGAAAATTGAAGCAAAAAGAGCCTTTGCCTAGCATTTTAAAAATGCTGATCTCATTGTGCTTGTGTTGTTGAACTGGCCCTTGAAACTTTTTGTTCTCGAAAGCATGTCTCAAGAATTTATCTACTTGTTACCCTAGTCTCATTTGGTTGCATGAAGATATAAAGCATGATTTTGAAAGTGATGAAAGTGTTTTCGTTTATTGTGTCTAAAATAAAATTATCATATTTGAAGAAGTTTGAAGTGTTTGTAAAATTTAAAGTCAATATTGAGTCTATAAACATCCTATCAAAAATTTGAATCTAAT